CCTCAGAAGGGAAAATCCAGAAAAGTCAAACTATGATGAACAAGACTTGGTAAAGACGTTCAAGAATTTAGAAATGGCTGATAAGAAACCGAGTGTATCTACTGCATACACCAAAAATATTTTTACAAAAGCAGAACAACTGTGTTGATTGAGTAATTGGTTCTAGCTGTGAAGGGAAATTAACGACAAGAAAATCCATCATAMTGTATTTGATGCAGTGTCATGGACTTTAAGAATCTAACCTATAGTGTTCTAATGTTGCACTGCTAATGTACACAACAGTACAGGTTACAGCATTATCATTTTTATTAGCATTAGTTTATTATTAATCATAAAGATTTAATAAAAAAACTCCAAATGAATTAAATGCTATGACATCTGTTTTTGAAGAACTTTCTCTGCTCCCCGGTGCAGTAGTGTATAAAATTGTAAATGAACAAGTTCAAAAACATGATTCACTAGTAATCCATAAAGCTACATGATATACAACATATCTAATGATGAGACATCATTTTCACACATGGATTGGCTCCAATGAGTCCATGAGAATCTTTGGGATGTGCTGGAGAAGACTTTGCACAGCGGTCAGACTCTACCATCATCAATGCAAGATCWTGTTGAAAAATCAAAGCAACACTGGATGGAAATAAAACTTGTGACATTGCAGAAGCTTATCCAAACAATGCCACAGTGAATGCATGATGTAATCAAAGCTAAACAAAGTATTAGTGTGTGACCTTTCTTTTTGGTGACAATTTTATTATTATTTGTTTATTTGTTTGCTTGTTTGTTTGTTTGTTTTGGCCAGGCAGTGTAATTCAATATGACAAAAACACACATTTTAGTAATTTGTTGAGCTGAATTAATTAAATGAGTTCAAATTCAGGTGATGATACTGTTTATTTAATTATTACAAAAATAAATAAATAAAAATTGAAATCCTTGACCAAGGTGCACATGTTCTAAAAATAAATCTGAAGCCTCGTCTCTTTCATCTCAGGCAACTTTCTCTGAGAAAAGTTCACAGCATTTTAGTGAGAAAAGTTCACAGCATTTTAGAGAGTCCACGCGCCACAAGTGCCAATGCCTAATTTCCTCGGGGGTGGGGGAGTGCAGCCTGCGGTGAAACCAATTCTGAGAAAACATCCTCCAGGCTGAGATAAAAGGAACTAAAAATAAAAAAAGTAAATTTAGCTTTTGAGCTGGGTATCAAAAACAGCTCTGATTAATACAGGGGAGTGAGAATCACTGAGCAATACATCGGAATAAAAGTGAAAAAATATTAGCATTTTGAACTGCTTGTGTTAGTTTTTGGATCATTTTTAAAGACCTGAAATAAATAAATAAAGTCTCTTGTATGAAAGCACCTCCTGCATTTGGTTCTGGACCAACTGATAATTGACTTTTACGTCACGATTCTGAACTGAACGAGCCTGTGGATCAGTGATTGGTGAGCTKTTTGTGGAGGAAAAAAGGGGGAGATTTCACATTCTTCTGACAATTTTTCAAAGTAAGTAGAAAAAAAAAAACAGTCCAGCTTGTAGGAGTGAAAATGTGTGGGGAAAAACAGAAAGAAACTGGTTTGCTGAGTTCAGAAAGCAGAAACTTAACTAATGTAGAAAACCAACAAGCTACACCGTGTGAGAATCCATAAGAACTTTCATTTAATTCAACCATTTTTATAACAGCAATATTCCCATTGCTCTACTTTTGGTCACTAATGGTCACTTTGTGTTTGTATTCAGGTCTAGATCATAGACTGCATCACATGTTTAAACTAATCTGCAAACAAAAGGCCATTTTAACCCTGGATTTGCCACCAATGCAGCATAGGCACAAAGTTGTTCCTCAGTTCACCCACACAGAGCTTTCTGCTGGATGTTTGAGGGTCCTGGTGGGAATATGGACGAGAGGTGGGAGGTTGTTTTTTGGCACTGACACTTTCAGAGAAGGCCAGGCTGTGACATTATGCCAACCAGGCAGGACTCCCGGGAAATCCATGATAAATACCACCTCCCAAAGCACAAATGTCAGCGAGTTTGTTTGTTTGAAGGTTTGAATTTATTTGTTTGTTTGTCTCTGTGAGTTTTGAAATGTGTGTGGTTGTGTGTGTCTAGATTGGTGCATATTTATGCCTTGTAATGAAAGCACACTGGCAACAAGCTGGATGATGTGCCTGGGAT